TAGAATCAGGAGACCCAAAGTCCAAATCCGGCCTCAGACACTTACTAGGTGTGTAACCCTGGAGAAGGGACTTAACTTCTCTGCCTCAGTTTTCTCATCTGTAAAATAAGAATAATAAAAGCACCTACCTCCCGGGGCTGTTATGAGGATAAAATGAGAAAATATTTGTTAAGCTCTTTGCAAAACTTAAAGTGCAATATAAATGCCAGCTATCAAGACCAGAAATAGTTAATTATGTATTTTTTTCAATTGATGAAGATGTTTTGCTCTTTCTCCAACTTCTCTTCCCACTAAAAAAATCCTCCAAAACTACTATAAACATGCATGTTTGTGCTTACAATCTTCAGTATAGGGCTTTGTATATAGTAAGGACTTAATACATTTTTGTTGAGTTGTATTGAATTGGAATGTCTTATTCAATAGGATTTTAATTCAGTGTAACTCTGTTCAAGGAGCATTTTTAAGCACCTACTTTATTTTAGGCATGGGAGATACAAAGAAATGAAAGCTAAATGATATATATGAGGATAAGCAAATATAAAATATCTACCAAACCATTTGGAGAGCTCAAACATCTGGGATGGGGGACGGTGGGGTAAGAAAGATGTCCTATAATAAGGGTTATTTGCACTTGGCCTAGAAGAGTTCTAGGAATTATAAAAGGTAGAGATGAAGAGGGAGGGCACCTCAAGACATTAATTAGTTAATTTTACTTAAACTATGACCGGTTGCCCTGCACACCCAAAACTTATTCTCTAATGATATGAATGCTTGTTGTCTTATCTCCATCACCCTACTCCTCTAAAGGGTTTTACGAGGGTTGTGACTGTGTCTTATTTTTTTATATCATCTCTCTCTTTAGCAGTTCTTAGCATACTGCCTTGTACATAGTGGTGACATAATAAATATTTAATTAATCAAAATGAATTTAAATAGCCAAGAACTGAATACATGAACTTATACTGTAAGGCAAATTGTTAACTGTTTCAGACCACTTTGGTTCATTTGTATTTCCTATCTAGGATGTTATTAAAGTAATACACAATAGGTCTTCAAGACACTTTGCAGAATTCTAGTTCCAGAGAAGAGTTAACAGCCTGAATTATTTTGATTGGCTGTGTAAATGATGTAACTGTATAATTTAAGTGACTCCTTTGGACAGTACTGACATGTACAAGATGTATAAGATATGTTCAAGAAGAAGGAAGCTTTTGCTGATCCCTCCCCTCCTGAAATCTGTCAGGTCACTCATTTGTTCTCTGCTATGCCTCTAGAAAATGTCATACTTAATAGGACTTTATAGGTATACATCTTCCCTCCTATTAGATTGTATACCATCTGATGGTAAATATTGTTTTGTCTTTGTTTTCCCAGCCCTTGGCATGTAATTGGTCCTTAACAGATGTTTGTGTAGATGAATTGAATTGGTATTTAAGTTTCCAAGGCTGTAAAAAATTAACATATCGGTCATCCTAAAGAAGCAAATGAACACGAATAAAAGGTAAAATGAAGTCCAATATCAACTGCATTTGGTTTATTGGCCAATCTGAATGCCATCCCTTTTATTCCCTCCCCATGAAACCTCTACTTGCTGTTCCCTTTTTAAAAATTCTTTTTTTCATTTTCATAAGCCTTTTATTTTTTATTAATTTATTTTTAGTTTTCAACATTCACTTCCACAAGATATTGAGTTCCAAATTTTCTCCCTATCTCTTCCCTCCCCTCACCCCAAGATGGCATGCATTCTGAATACCTCTTCCCCTAATCTGCCTTCCCTTCTATCTCTCCCCCTCCTTCTCTTATCCCCTTCCTCTTCAATTTTCCTGTAGGGCAGGATAAATTTCTATATCCCATTTACTGAATATCTTATTTTCCAGATGAATGTGAAAACAATTTTTTTTTAACATTTGCTTTTAAAACATTGGGTTCCTTTTTAAAAATTTCTTGAGCCAAAGATACAGTGCCCCAGAATTCCATAAAGTAAAATAGATCTGGGCCTGTGACTTCAAAATTTTTGCCTTCCCTAAAATACTGTCCACCAGCACTGGATGATTCAAGGACAGCCATGAAATGTATATGACAACCCACAAAAATTGACTTCCTGAGCTTCAAAATGCAAGTCCTTTTTCTTAATCCCTCTTCTTCCTTCCTTATAAGGTTTTCTGCTTTTTCCATATGAGTAAATTTAACAACCCTAAGGTAGGATATTTTTAATGCATTGCCAATTTTTGTCCAATTTTATGTTCTTGAGATTTGTTGTTTAAGAAGAAAAGCAAGATTCGTCAATATAGGAACATTGCTCTGCACTAACTAGCATTCTCTAGGTGGGGCAATTCAAAACTCTTGGCTTTTAGTTGTACTTATAAAATCTTTCTTCTATTATTTGAAATGCTAACTTGTCCACATTATGGTCTTAGTATGGTGAAACTCACTGTAATTCAGTTTTCTGAAAATCAGTGAACTATGGGCCCTGTCTGTACGGCTAGAAAGTGACAAGACCGATTTCTCTGAAGCCCTCCACAAAACCAGTACTAATCCTCTATAAGCCTAATTCTTCTGATTGACAAGGCAGCTGTCAAACCAAATGCTTTATTGACCAGAATACTCCATGCTCCAACCACAACTTTAAATGAACTGCTCCTGAGAATCCCCTCTAGGATGAAGTAACGAAGTATGGTACTCTGGAGACTGCATTTCAAAAGGACTCCAATTAGAACTGGACATTTGAGTTTTAGAAGAAGTACAAAGGCTCTGGGCCAGGGAATGGGGCTGTTCTCTTGGAATATCAGGGTGAATGAGAAGGGGTTAAATAAAATAAAGGGTCAGTTTTTAAATACCTTCTACACCTGAGAGTTGATGTAGAGAATGATAATCAGAGAGACTGTATCATTCTTAATCATCTAAGAAATACCAAGTTTAACACTGCTAATTCTATGATTAGGCTATCAGAATTTGTGGGTTGGACAAGGGTTCCAGAGGTTATCTACACTACTTAGGAATAATCCCAACAGCTCTGCCATATAGCCTTTACTCTGGTAGTCAAGTAGACTAATGTTGACAAATATGTTTTAACAAAATGATTGAAAGGAAAAGGGGATATCTGGTCAACTTTTAATTATCCAGAAACTCAATTAAGTATCAGATTCCTTCCTTTATTAGCACTGGAGCTGGGGAAACCAACCAGAGCCTTACAGAGCTGGTGAACAGCTTAGCAAGCAGCTATCATGTTACTTTGATGCGTTGAGGCATAATGTAGCTGGGTCACTAAAGGAGAAAAAAAAAAAAGGACAATTACTATTACTAATGAGTATGAAGACTGGGCACAATCCTACTGCCACTGAGGAGAATTTACATAATAGGAAAGAGGTGATTGGACTCAAATAAGTCTTAGGGGATTGGTGAAGATTTCAGCATCACTCTAAGAGGCCCCCAAAGATGCCCTTTCACAATGGTATTTCTTGTGTGGGAAGGCAGCTGGTGAGCAATTGTGGTGTGTCTGTATCTCCCTATCTCAGGTGCCTGATGTGTGACTCTTGGTGCTAGTAACACGCTGATAAATGTTTAACAACTGGCTCTCTGAAAAAAATCCACAAAACACACTTTAAAGTATAATCTGCATTATGTTCTCCATCACTTTCTTATGTCTAGATCAAGGGTTAGGAAACTAAAGCCCCCTAGTCCTATTTTAATTATCCTTTCATAGGGCAGAAACAAGGCAAGGGCTAGATTTAACCCTCAGGCTTTAGTTTACCATTCCCTGATCTAGACAATCAATGGAACAATACATGTAACTGTGATTTATAGTATTTGCTGATGTCCACACTAAAAGTTTAACAATTGGCTCTCACAAGCTAGTTTGAGCTGGATCTAGCATACCCATACATATGGTATCTTCTCTAGAGTGGGAGTTCAAGTACTAGAAAGGAGAGTATATCATACCTAGTGACTCCAATAAAAGACAGACTATCTCTCAAAGATGGAAACTGTTTTGAAACTTTTCCCTGTCACCCCAGGGATGATTTGTAAATTTCATTAGATTGTAGGCTCTTGAGGTCAGGGACTGCTTTTTTAAAAAAAATTCTCCACTAATTAGCACAGTGCCTGGAATGTAAGTGCTTAAACAAATATAGCAGCCCCACATATTCCAGTGCACTATGAAATAACATTTAGAAACAATTTTTTCAGATAATTTGCTGGCCCAATGGTGCCTTTCAGCACAAAAAATAAAATGTTGTATTTATGTGGTACATTTCAAATGAGACACTCAAAGTGTAAAGTCAACTCTAGATCCAATCCATTCTGGGTACAGTAAAATGAATGGTATATATCAGCTGAGTAAAAGGGTGAGAGGTTTATGCTACTCAGATATAACAGGCTGCCAAGAATACTCAGTAGAAGCAGAAATCTAGGTTTGTGGGAAGGAATTAAATGGAGACATACTGATCCTGTCAAAGACAAAACACATTCTAGAACTCTTTGCTCCTATCTGATGCCCAGAAGCCTAAAACCCAGAGCCACAGGGCTAACTATCTGAAGAGACAATTGACATGTGAGCACCAAACTCCAAGGACTATGGAGATCTCTTATGTGAAAAATGTGATTTTTAAAAATTTAATTAATTTATTTTTTTAGTGAGGCAATTGGGGTTAAGTGACTTGCCCAAGGTCACACAGCTAGTACATGTCAAGTGTTTGGTCTGAGGCCAGGTTTGAACTCAGGTCCTCCTGACTTCAGGGCTGGTGCTCTTATCCACTGCGCCACCTAGCTGCCCCCAAAAATGTGATTTTTAACATCCACTGTTTCTATATTTTGTGGCTAATTGGTTTCAATAGACATTATTGGAGACCAGTTCTACTCACAGGTCATTTGAGTTGTCAGGTCAACAAGCATCATGTTAAATGCCTATTGTATGCCTCTAAATAACAATTTTATTTTGTATATTTGAATTACAAGGCAAGGAGAAAAATCAAAACATTAATGAGGCTTATTGGACAGCTTACCCGGGGATTCCACCTGATTCTAGCTTATTCGCGATGTCCACATCCCAGGACCAAACATCAAACTGCCACTTCCGGAGACCCAACACTCCACAGAGCACTGATCCAGAATGGATGCCTATGCGCATGTCAACGTCATGCTTTGTCCTTGATCTAACATACCTGTTCAGGAAAGTCAACACATACACACATTAGGAAGGGAAGAAACTCATCCTCAACATCTGCGTGCTGCCAAAGTCCTGCTTGAGAGCTGGGGAACGTGTGAAAATGAGGAGTGAGGAAAATTTGATCTTGATCTTCACTGCATTCTTATCAGGACAAGAGAGAATGGAAATATAAATAGCACAGAACAGGTGATATGCTTGGAAAAGACAGACACAGACAGTGGAATAAAAATTGGTGAATGGAAACCTTGGCTATTCAGTAGAAAAAGTGCTGAATGAAAGTCAGGAGACGGGCTTAAATCTGGGGCTGGCCACTTGATGCTTAGGTGATCTTGGGCAAATCTCTTGGCATCAGTTTGCTCAGTTGTAAAAGGGGTGGCGTGTGGGATGGAGACAGGTTAAACAGATTGTCTCTAAGGTACCTTTTAGCTCTAAACCTGTGATGAACTAAAACTCTATTCATAGTCAAAGCATCCTACACTAATTCATTTTTTCATGCATCCAAAAATTTTAGAGCAGACAGGCCAGAAAGGTGTGGGCACTCAAAACTCTGGCATATAATGATAGGGTGAAGCAATTAAGCCTGTCTAATCTATAAGAGAATGCTTAGAGGAGGTAGAGGCATAAACATTTAAACTGCATGTACTATGTAACAGGCACTGTGCTAAGTGCTTTTTACATACATTGTATTTATTGATCTTCACAACAGTCCTGTGAGGTAGGTGCTATTATTATTCCTATTTTTACAGTTGAGGAAACGGAGGCAAACAGAGGTTAAGTGACTTGCCTAAGGTCACACAGTCAGTTAGTGCTTGAGGACAGATTTGAATTCAGTTCCCCCTAATTCTAAGCCCAGCATTCTAACCACCCTGACACCAGCTTTTGGACCAGCTAGGTGGTGCAGTGGATAGAGTCCTGGGGCTGGAGTCAGGAAGACTCATCTCCCCAAATTCAAATCTGACCTAAGACACTTACTAGCTGTATGATCTCAGGCAACTCCTTTAACTCTATTTGCCTCAGTTCATCATCTACAAAATAGCTGGAGAGGAAATGGCAAACCACTCCAGTATCTTTGCTGAGAAAATACCAAAAAAGACCACAATCAGTCAGACATGATTGAAAAACAAAAGATCACCAGCTGCTTCCCCTTAGAGGAGCCAAATCAGGGAATTTGAACTACTGGGACTGTTAGCTATCACTTAGTTTATTTCTTTCATAATACAGATGAGGAAAATGAGACTGTAAAGGTTAAATGACTTCTTGAAGGGCACCATGAGAGTAGATAAGAAGCTGGGTTTGAATTCAGGTCCTCTGACTCCAGACTCAGGTTTGTTTTTTAAATTTTCTTCCCATAATGTCATAAAATCATAGCCTTCTCTGAGCATTTGAAGGCTTTCACATAGAAATAACAGCAACTGGCCTTGAGACATACTTTAAACTTTAGATAGTGCTTTACATAAATGATCTCACTTAATCCTAACCATAGCCCTGTGAGGGAAGCCCTGTAGGTATTATCCCCATTTTATAGAGAAGGAAATAGAGGCCAAGAGAGGCTCAGTGATTTCCCCACAGCTAGCAAATGTCAGAAACGAGATTTAAGCCTAAGCCTTTCTTGACTTCCCAGCACAACTCTCTTTGCATCACCCCACATTGCCTCTCAAAGGGAAGAAGCATTAGAATTTCTTTATCTAGCCTCAGAAAGTAAAATGAGTAAGAATCAGGGAAATCACAGTAGGTCTGTTCCCTCCTCTCCTATTGCTATTTCCCCAGTCCAAGCCCTCTTGTCTGGGCTATTGTTGCTGCTGTTGAAGAGTTTCAGTCATGTCTGACTCTGTGACCCCAGTTGGGGTTTTCTTGGCAGAGAAACTGGAGTAGTTTGCCATTTCCTCCTTCAACTCATTTTACAGATGAGGAAACTGAGGAAAACAAGGTTAAGAGACTTGCCTAGGGTCACACAGCTAGTAAGTGTTTGGGGTCACATTTGAACTCAGGTCTTCCTGACTTCAGGCCCGGCACTCTGAGCCACCTAGCTGCCTATTTGTGGTTGTCCGGGCATGTCCAGCTCTTCATGGCCCCATCTTGGTTTGTTGGCAAAGATACTGGAGTAATTCGCCATTTCCTTTTCCAGTGGATTAAGACAGAGTGTAAGTGACTTGCCGCAGGTCGCACAGCTCATGAGTGTCTGAGACCAGATTCAAACAAACATCTTTGTGTCTCTAGACCTGGACCTCTATCCACTGCACCACCTAGCTGCCTTGAGTATGGCACTAGCCTTCTTATTTGTCTTCCTGTAACCAGTCTCTCCTTCACTCTATCTTCCACATCTTTCAGATTGATGTCCCTAAAGTGCCATTCTAACCATGTTGTACTTCTGTTCAAGAATCTTCAGTGGCTCCCCATTGCCTTCAGATTAAAATTTAAAGTCCTGTTTGGTACTGAAAACCCTGCACAAACTGGTTTTGGTCTACCTTTCTGGGATGCTTTCCAATGATTTCCTCCTGTGAATTCTATGTTCCAGACAAAATGACCTGCTAGCTGTTCCCCATACATAAATGTGCATCTCATGCCTTCACACCTTTGCCAAAACCTGGAATGTTCTCTCCTTTCAAAACTCCTAGTTTCACAAAAGGTCTTTCCTGAATCTCCTTCTTGTTAATTCCCAGACTGGTCTCCATTCACTGCATATTTAGTCTGTGTTTACTTTTCTGTGAACATGTTGTATCCCCCTAGTAGAATGTAATCTCCTTCAATTATATTCAGTTCAATAAACATTTATTAAACACCCGTTATGTGCCAGGCACTGTGCTAGGTGCTGGAGACATAAATAAGAAAAAAGATAGATGCTGCCCTCAAGGAGCTTACAGTCTAATGGGTGAAGACAGCACACAAAAGGAAGTTGGAAAAGGAGGCAGGGAAGCAAAGGACATTTTGTTCAAACAAAACAAAGCTGCAAACATAAAGTGGAAAGCCCTGGAATCAGGAGGGCCCGAGTTCAAATCCATCCTCAGACACTTACTAGTTGTGTGACCCTGGGCAAATCACTTAACCCTGATGGCCTCAAAAAAAGTGGAAAGAGAGCTGAAAGTCCATATCCTGCCCTCTTTAAAGGAAAGCTTTGACAGGAGTTTAGTGACCCACTCTCCAGTCTTCCAGTCACAGGCAAGAGGAGGCAAAGAGAGTGGGAAGATGCTGAGTATCCAAGGCTGAGTTAAACAGTGTGGTCAGGAGATTCCGAGTGATCCACTCATCCCAGGAAGGGCATCTTGTTGCTTGGAGTTGAAAACAGCCTGAGTTGCAGATGAAAAGTGGTGAGCAGAGAATTCCTTGAGGGCAGAGAGCATCTAATTTTTGTATTTCATTCCCAACACCTCGTAGGTGACTGGCACTTAACATATGCCTAAAAACCAAAACTCAAAACCCCTATTTGTCCATTGATTGATTGAAGCAGATTTTGGCATACAATTTTGGGTGACATTAAGAAAGTCATAGCTTCCAGGAATAGGAGGTATAGTCTCTAGTTGGACCAAATCTGGTACATTGTGTTCAATTCTGTTTAAGACACACCAGTTTAGGAGGAAGAGTGCCAATTTGGAGAGCGCCCAGAGGAGACCAACCATGGTTGGCCTGGAGCCTATTTCACATGAAGATCAGTTGAAGAAATAAGGAATGTTTAACATGGAGAAGAGAAGATTCAGGAGGGACATGACAACTATCTTTAAGAAAGATGAGACTTATTCTATTTGGTCTAAGAGGAGAACCAGTGTCAGTGAGTCAAAGCTGGGAGGATTGAAGTGAAGACAAAGTTTTCAATAGTAAGAGCTGTCCCAAAATAGAATGATCTGCCTTGAGAGGTGGTGGCCTTTCCATTTAAGGTCTTCTACTTGAGGGGCAGCTCGTTGAAATCTGACCTCAGACACTTACTAGGTGTGTGACCCTGGGCAAGTCACTTAATCCCCATTGCCTCAAAAAACAAAACAAAACAGGTCTACTTGGAGCTGGAGGACTACTCCTAAAGAACGCTGTTTTGGGGACACCTCTTTGGATATCAGTTGGACTAGATGGCTACTAAAGTCCCTCCCAAATCTAAATTCTGTAATTCTGCTCCACCACTGGAGGTTTTCAAGGGGAGATTAGATTACCACCTATGTCTCCTATTTCAGAGACATTGGAGAAAGGATTTCTACTCTTGTATGGTCTGATGTCCTTCCTAGTTTTGAGATTTTCTTATCTTTTTACAGTACATATTATGCACAAAACACTGTTTTAGCCGATAGAGAGGATAGATACAGAGATGAGGCATCCAGGTGGTGCAATGGATATAATGCTAGATGTGGGGTCAGGGAGAATTAAGTTCAAATTCTGCCTTAGATAAACTTACTAGCTGTGTGACCCTGGGCAAGTCACTTTATCTCCATTTGTCTCAGTTTGCTCATCTATAAAAATGGGGCTAAAAATAGCACCTACCCCTCAGGGTTGTCATGAGGATCAAATGAGATAATATTTGTAAAGAAATTTGTAAACAATACTCTATACACACGCTAGCTGCTATTATTATAATTAAGAAAGGTTTTTTGTTATTCAGTAGTTTTAGGCATGTCTAACTTCACGATTTCATTTGGGTTTTCTCGGCAAAGATACTGGAGTGGTTTGTCATTTCCTTCTCCAGCTTATTTTACAGATAAAGATACGAGGCAAAAAGGGTTAAGTGACTTGCCCAGGGTCACATAACTAGTAAGTGTCTGAAGGTAGATTTGAACGTAGGAAGATGAGTCTTCCTGACTGCAGGTCCAGCACTCTATTTTCTCTGCCACCTTGATGCCATAAGACAAAAATACTTGCTCTCAAAGAGTTTATAGTACAGAAAGATAACATGTGCTTAAGAAGAGAAAGTAAATGAAAGAGGTACAAAACAAGTTACCAAGAGTCGACTCCTGACTTCACCATTAATTGTCTGTGTGACTTTGGTTGACATTAACCTCCCTAGGTGACCTCTAAGCT